TCTGTTTTGGTTTGGTTGTTTTGGGGTTTTTTGGTGTTTTTTTATAAAATGTAGCTTGAGGTCCATTTTCCTTACTTCACATAAAACAATAGACAAAGCTCAGTTGGGATCATTGATTGTAGGCTGCAAATGAAGTTCACTCGTATTTATACGATCGTCATAAATGTTGCATATTTTCTGGGTAGGGTGCACAATGTTTTCATCTGTTGCTTCTTGTGGCTCTTTAGTTTTCGTTCAGCAAACAGTCTTTCAGGACCAGAAACAGCCCACTTTACTTTACCCCAAAGGTCGCTGTGCATCGTCATTGTGTAAACAATCCTGACAATGTCTGTTATATTTACAGCGAAATCATCACATGTACTATGATGTACTGCACAAAGAAGTAAGATAACAAAATTGGTTTTTAAAAATCTGTCACCTTTATGTAATATAACCATGTTAGTGACCAAAACAAAAAGTGGGTCCCTCAGGTATGTTGCATTACCCGTATGTCACAAACCGTCACCCGTGGTCGCAAAAGAAAGGAACATCAATGCCCTTTGCAGTGCCATTGGCTTGGCGTGAATTAGGCAATCATTCAGATGATTGATACTTCAGTACTGTACAACCAGTTTAAAAAGGACTTAAAAGTAAAGTTAATTATCATGATATTCCATCTGCCCAACGTCTAGTAACCCACAGTGAAGATTTACCAATTTCTGTAGCGCCGGAAACAATTAATTACTGAATTGAAAGAAAGGGGGGAAAGATGTAAATGAAGAACAGACTGAAGCTTCAGCATCAAATAACCCTGATTTTCACTCAAAGTTTCTTGTTAGAATACACGTAAAATGAACTGAATGACCTTCTCAGCTCAGAGACTTAGAGCCGGTTGAACATAATACTTGCATATGTATCACGGAGGAAGGCTAATGATGACGACAGCAACCAAATTCCCTCGGGAGGGCTGCAGTCTGACCATAGCCTCCAAAAGAATGGAAGGAAATGTTTAAAAATGGGAACATGGAATGTGAGAACCCCATTGCAAAACAGGAAATTTAATTTAGAGAATATAGTGAAAGAAGAAGTGAGCTGGATACCGATATTTTAGGTATATCAGAAACGAGATGGACCAATGAAGATGAAATAAAGAAAAATGGCTTCATCTTCATATTCATACATTCCGGTGGTAGTCGAATCTACATGGAGTATGGAGTAGGAATATTACTAAAACAAAAGTTTGAGTAAGAGATTATGAGATATTGGCCAGTAAGCGAAAGAAACATGGTACTGAAAAAGCAGTCAGAACCATTAACCTAGCAATACTCCAGAAATGTGCCTTAACTTCCATATGCAAAGATGAAAAGGTTGAAGAATATTATGAAGAAATAGATAAAATCCTGGAAAAAGTAAAATCGAATGAAATTCTTTTTATAATGGGAGACCTGAATTGGGAAACGGACAATACCAAGACATCACTGGCAACTACGAATTAGGAGAACCTACCTAAAGAGGTGAAAGACTCCTACATTTTCGTTAGGAGAAGAATCAAAATTAAATGATAGCAAATACCTTCTTTCAACAACCAGCAAGAAGACTTTATACCTGGAAAAGGCCACGGTGAAGATGGCATAAACACAGAAATTCTGAGGCAGTAAATCAATTTGATATTGCTACTATGACACAGAGGGTGCGGTGGCGAAGCGGTTAGTGCGCTCGCCTCCGAAGGGGAAAGTCCGGGTTCGAGCCTCGGTTCGGACACAGATTTTTTCGCTCCCTCCTGTCCATCCAGCAGCAATGGATACCTGACTTCGAGTTGGGGAAATAAAGGCGGCGTGGAAAGGAACTGGCTACCGTACCA